TTTTTTTATAGTGGGCCATCACTACATCACAACATCAAATTGTTTCGATAAGCAATAAATAGCACAATCATTGAAGTACAATAACAAGCAGCAAAGGGGACAACACCACTAAATCTTGTTTTAGTGTCCAAGTGGAAGCCATGAATTGGAATCCTGCCATACAACAGAGGAAGAGGCAGGTGCGTGGTCACTCCATCTAGAAGAATTTAAGCTTCTCACGCTTAAAAAAACGTCATCAGTGGCTTGAGTTTCCTTCTCTTTTCCTCCTCCCTACTGCCATTACAAAAATATTTGTTTAAAGATGTGTTTTGTTTCTCAGCTAAAACCACATAAACCAAGAGCCAAATTACGGAAATGGGATCATCTGTGATCACACAAACAGCTCATTGTTACAATAATAAAACCTACACATGACCTTTCTGGAGTGCTCTTCTCTACAGACAAACCTCCCACAACCTGAAGACTTGAATTTCCATCTCATCCTTCCCTAAAGTGGGCATGCTAAAATATCTACCACGAGGGCTTTTCAAGACAGCCTACCCAGGGTTGACCTGGCTGTACAAAGTTCATTTTACGAAGGGTTCAAAGCAACATTATTCAAGCTGACAGTCAGAAAGGCACATGCAGAAGTACATAAAGAAGCACAGTTGTGATCCCGGAGTCTTCCACAGAAAAACACACCAGTGGTTGTTTCAGACTGGATCAGGATTGGATCCAGATTTGCGGAGTCTCTATTTGCCAAATCCATTGCAGGAAAAGACAATGATGTTGCTTAGCTTTGTATTGGGATTAAATCTGAAATGAAGAGAGGCTCTTCAGTAATCTCAAGATAATCAGATAGCAAAACTAAAACTGGAGCCAAGAGCAGAAAGGCTGATAGCCTAGCTAAAAAGATTAAAAAGTCTAACCCACCTGACCCATGTTCTGTGCTATTGTTTTTTAACAGTTTGCAGTCCATGCTGTGCTTCATTCTTCTGATGCTGCCAAACAGCTCCTGCTGGGCAGTGCTGGGCAGCAGATGCAGTTTACTCAAGAGCAGTACTAACTATTAATAGTGTTTATTTATTTTTTTAAGAGGAATTCAAGGGCAGGGCCAAAAAATTATTACCCTTCATATGATTTAAGGCATTTCAAGAACTGCATTTCTGTGAGTCAGAGCAGAAACATTTATTAGCTTACTCTGACAAATGTAATCGTAAAAAAAGCCCGTTATGCTACTTCTGATGCATCTCACCATGAATTCTGCTAGCCTTTAAAGATGTAATCGTGAACAGCTGCACTATCCTCCATCTACCCACACCAGCAATGTCAAGACACCACTTGTATTCCCTCGTTATGATCTCCCTTAACAAAAGGGTTAAGCTGGGGAGAATTCTCCACTACAATTAGCTTGGAAATCCAGAGGAAAGAAATCTCTATTAGTGATAATCCACTGTAATGTCTCATTTTCATCAGAAGTCTTTACTGCTGCTAGATCAGCAGATTTTCTAACTTTTCTAAACTTCGCTTAAGAGAACCTCAATAATTATGGCAGAATAAGCTGTAGCTCCTTTGATATTTTATTACTACCATTCATGCTGCTTTATTCTGTGTTCATACCCAAAACCATACCCTAGAAGTAGGCCCCTAAATATACAACTTAGATGTTTATTAAAAATAAATCTACTTCCAGTCAGTGTGGCTTTGCTGATCTCGACACACATCTCTGACTGCAAAAAGGCAGAGAATCTGTGGGCTAGTCTTGGACCCCCTAGAGAGTGCAGAAGTCATTCACAGTCTTTACCTTGAAAACCTGTTCCAGGTACCTCTTTCCACATTTTAAAAAGTTTATTTGCTCAATCTCTTTTCATTAGTCCTGTTAGGGTGCCAGAAGAGCTGGATTTTATAGTATGCCCAGAAAACAAAACATGCCTATACAGGCATGGATAAAACTGGGTCTCTGCATTGGGTTTAACTGTCAATAGCTAAAGGAAAGACTGCAGGCTGCTCCCTGCTGTAAGGCTGCAGTATTGCATGGAAATGAGAATTAATATTCTCATTTCCACACAGAAAAGAGACAGACAGCACCACCAACAGTGCTAACAGCAAAGCCAGGACCAGAAATCAGGAGTCCTGGCTCTTAACCTCATGCTGTATTTTATGTAGAATTAGATTTATTTTTATGACTAAATGTTATGATCATCAAAAGACAAAAAAAAAAAACACTGTTGTGTAAGTACAACCAAATCCTTGTCTAAAAGTGGCAGCTATAGAAGTCTGGAGGATTTCCTACAATGCCATTCGAGATAAACGTGGAAGTCTGGGGGAAGAAGCTGTGAAGCATTAGCATTCGGATACCACAGCTGCAAGTTATGGCATTTCTAGTTCTACTGAAAGTGTCTAGCTCCATCTAGAGAATAATCACTCAAATTACAGGACTGCAATTCCAGGCACAATTCCAGGAACAGCATCATAAACATCATAAACAGAGCATCATAAACAGAAGTTCATTAAATTCTGTTTTGCTGAATAAACAAGAAAAACAATATCAAAATACCAAGTCACTGTAAAGAAAACCCATCGTAGTTTCTTACGTTATCGTAAATAGTTCAAAATAGCTAAGATATATATGTCTACAGTAAGCTAAATTGTGTCATTGGAAGAGAGCTGGAGGAGAAATGCAAAAATGGAAAACTGAATTCATAACAACTACTTCTAGCAGAAGGAAAATTTTGTTAGGCACCAGTCCTGGGACATGAAATAAATATGACATGACTACACATAGCCCACCTTTTCAAATCTCATTTGCTCACTGAATAACTACATTTTCAAAAATGATCTTACCTCTACGTCCTGCTTGTTAGCTAACACCAGAATGGGAACTCCTTCCAGAGCTTCACTAGTAACCATCTTCTCTATAAAGCAAAGAAACAGAGAGCAAGAGAGGTTTAGCTAACTCTACAAGTCAAAGTTGTGCAAATACTTGACATATTATCTGGGCATAGAGAGGAAGAGGAACATCCCTACTAGTTTGACTTGATCCAAACTTTCAGGACTATGTTCATCACATTATCTTTTTTTTTTTTTGAGATCAAACTCAAAACTTTATTTTTATCAACAAGCAAGTTACTAAAAATAACTAAGTGGTAAACACGCAATAAGGAATTTAAGTTCTGAAATAAATAACATAAACACAAAAAGAGACCCAGGGCCATTCTAGACAATGAAACTGAGGATTGTTGTCTGGAGAAGACCAACCATAATCTTAAACAGCTCACTGACTTCACCACTTTTGCCTCAGAAACACAGCCACGTACTACACAAAGGTTCAAAAACACAACAGACATGTCATCAGCAGGACACAGCTTATTTCAAGGACACAGAGAGACACATTTATAATGAGACGTGTGACACAACACATCATGAAATCATGGTACTAAAATACAGTGTACTCACCAAAAGCCTTTTTAGACTCTGAGAGCCTCTCCTCGTCAGTGGAGTCAATAACGTAGATCACTCCATGCGACTCGGCATAATACTGAAATGGTAACACGGATATTGGTGCATGTAGCAGCTAGGTCCACCTCTTCTTCACAGGTTTTTACATACATGAAAGGGATACCCAGTTAGAGCTAACTATTTCTATAAGATTTGTCTGAACAGAAGAATGATGGCACTCAAAAAGCATTGCCTGTCCTGTTTGCAGGCCTGCTGAGCCAAACACCTGAAAAAAATTATCTGCAGACTCCTTTTCTAATCCAGGGGATTATAGGCAGAACTTGCTGTTTCTTTAAGCCTGATCTACTGTACAGTTGAGTAATAATTCTCAAGTGACTGTTAACAGTAGCAG